ATATCCTCATCCTCTACCATCCACTAAAAGCCTTAGAGTCCTACTGTGATAGATGGAAAGTGTGTCTTCTCTACAATACAGGACAGCCTTGTGTGATCAGTGCTCCGGGACAAATTTGTGAAATGTTAAAGTTGGAAACAAAGAAAATAGAGTAATCTCCTCTCAATATATCCAGCCCTTAGACCCACAAACCCCTCAGGCTGAGAAAGTCCATGTACTCAAAAAAAGCAAAATAAAAAAGTATTTTAATAATTTTCAAAATATTGCCCCATTGATTGGAGAGGGGGAAGACTAGGAGAGAAGTAGTTTAGGGTTCAAGTGAAGAATTCAAGAATTCATTCTGGGACACAGAGTTTAAGATGCTTATTAGAAATTCAAGAAGAGATGTTGGTAGATAGGGCAGTCAGAAGGTCAGTGGTGCAGTCAGGACAGAAGGTATAATTTTAGAAATCATTAGAATACAGATGGTACTTAAAGCCACAGGGGCAGGACGAGGTCACCTAAAAAGAGCAAAGAGAGGAGGGCACACATTGAATGGCTGGGCAGAGGAAGAGCATATAAGATGTTGTAAATAAATAGAAAATCAGGGAAGCATGCTGCAATGAAAACAAGGGTTAATAAAATAAAGATTTCAAGAATGAAAAAAGGTTCAGATAACATGAGTTAGATAACTGACCATTGAATTTGGCGAATTTGGCTGTATGGAAGTCATTTGAGGCCCTGAAAAAGAGCAATTTCAGAGTTGCGCTAAGATTAAAAGCCCAAATGAAGAGAGTATGAGAAATAAGGAAATAGTGACAATGAGCATAAATAAGTCTTTTCAGAAAAGTTTTGCTGTGAGGAGGAATCAGAAAATGTAACTAGAAGTACATGAGAAATTGAATGAGTGGATGGAAGGGAGAAAGGAAGGTCAAGGAAGGATGGTTTTTAAATGAGTCATATCTACCGTATTTGAATGCAGTTGGAAATGATCCAGTCAACAGAGAAGAATTGATATTGTAAGTAAGAGAAGGATGTTTCCAGAAGAGAGGTCCTTGAAGAGGACATGGGCTTCAGGTACAAGTGAGTAGCTGGCCTCACACAGAAAACAAACACATCTTTTGTAAGAGAAGGGAGACAGACTCTGTGGGTACACAAGTAAATGTGTTGGTAGACTGGACATCAAGAAGAGGAGATGGCTCTTGTTTGATCCCTATTATATATCAGTGAAGGATGAGGCAAGGTTATTAACTTGAAAATGAGATAGAAATGGAAGTTTGAAGGTAGAGATGAATGTGTAAGTCATCTTGCAAAGTAATGATAACAAATCTCAATTATACACATCTGTGAGATTTACTTTTGCCACTGTTGTCCACTCTTTTATTTTTACATTATCCACAAATTGTTATGAATATTTAAACATATAAACAGTTAAAATAATGCCTAAACTGAATTGATGGTTGACAGGTAGCATTTCCATGCAGTAGTGTCAGCTGATAGCTGAATATTTGAATTCAATAGAGTTGTGAAGTGCAATATAATAAAGGGGTTTGTGAATTCCTTGTTGTACCAGTATTGCAACAAAGGTCTTACATGTTTAAATATTACAAATTTAAGTCACATATTTACAAATTAAAGAAAAAATGTAATCATTTTCAATAGATGAACTAAAATTTTGAATGAAATTTAATATTCATACATTGACTATCATAATTAATTGTGAAACTTCAGAGATACGAGCAAAGATCAACAGTCTTCACCATTTCTATTCAACATTTACACAGTCCCAACCAGCAGTAAAACAGGAGAAATAATCTACTGTCAAATTATTAGAATTAATGAGAGTACAATAAGAGGTAAGAGTAATATACAAAAATAAATTCCGTTCTTCATAAGCAACAGCTAGAAAACTTTTCAAAATACAACTTACAATTCAATCAGCAGCAAAATGAAGTATCTAAGAATAAATGCAACAAATGATTTATACAACTGAAGGAAACTAAGTTTACTAACAAAGACCTAAATAATTACATATTTTATATTCATGGATAGGAGTATTCAATAGCAAAAAGTTACCATTTCTCCCCTAATCTATCATACAATTATAGGCAAAATCCCTGTAGGTCTTTTTTATAGAACTTAATTGATAAAAAATCATTTAAAAATTTATATGGAAGATCAAAGGGCCTGTCTCAAGGCAGTTTTCAAGAACCCGTTGAAAGGGGCAGAAGGGAGTGGTGTGTGAAAGGGAGAATCTGCTCCACCTGACATCATAGCTTACTAGTGAAGCAGAGTAATTTAGTCAAGTTTCATGATTATTCACAGGTAGACAAATGGAATCGTGGAAATAGAAGATAAACTAGACTCACATCTAAGTATATTTGAAACAACGTTTGATGAACTGATTATGTATTGCAGAGCATTAAGGAAAGAATGAAATATTCAATAACGGGGAATGATACAACTGGTTATCCAAATGAAAAAAAAACCCAAACGCTTAAACACAAAAGAATGAAATTCTAATTCAATTAAAGACCTAATTGTGAAAATAAAAATTTTAAATAGGAGAACATTTAAGAGACTATTTTATGACCTCATGAAGGGAGGGAAAATAGTAAGGATCTCTTAAACGTTAAAAAAAAATAAGAAAAAATACTGATGAATTTTATTACATTAAAATTACAAATTTTTGTTAATCTGAAGTTATACTAAACAGTGAGAAAATAAAGTACAGCCTGGGAAAAGAGATTTGTGCTATAGAATTAACAAAATACTAGTATCAGTAATATGCATAAAAACTTTTATGTATAACTCAGTAAGAACAGTTCAGCAGAATACTGGGTAGAAGGTAGAAGCTAAAGACTCGCATATAGATATCAAATAACTGTGGATAGATATTCATTTCTCCTTCTGACTCAGGAATATACAAATTGAAACCACAAATAACATCATTTTACACCAGTGAAATGGACAAATTTTAAAGAATAATTGGAATTCTTAAACTTTGCTATGGGAACTTAAGTTGACAAAACCACTTTGGAGAACAATTTGTCAATATCTGTGCTCTTGGAAATGCCTGTATCCTACAACCCAGCAGTTTTCAACTCCGGGTCTATACCCCTCTATACCAAAAATCTCTTAACTTACTGAGTTACACAGAGGCAAGCACAGGGTGTTTATTGCAGCATTTTCTGTAACAGAAAAAAGGAAAAAACCACACACAGACACACACTAAAAATTCATTAGCATGAAAATGATTAAATAAGTTGCATTTTGATAATGAAATGGAATCCTGTAGGAGTGAAAACAGTAAGTTAATGGATTAAAGACACACTGAATAATTCCAAAACAAAATGTGTTAAAAGAAGTTTCAAAAGAATACATAAAGTATAATACCACTTATTTAAAGTTTGAGCAGATGCAAGATAACCGTATATTGCTTGAAAATACAAACAAATGGAGTAAAAGTATAAAGGAATGCATGTGAGTGATAACCAAATAGAGGGCAGTGATTATACCTGAGTGAGGAGAGAGGGTGATTATGTTTGGAAGGTACTTCAAATATATAAGTCAATTATATACTCAGTATGTATATAGGGATACACACACACACACACACACACACACACACACACACATAGCTTCTGTTTCTTAAAGTGGACAATGGGTACATGGGTATTTATTGTACCTTTTAATATCTTTTACACATATTTAAATATTACATAATACACTTCAAAATGTTAGTGAGAACATTTTTTGAGCTCTTCAGTATAAGTCTAATACTTTCTAGGTTTGCACATTATCTCATTTAACCTTAGTAACCCTTTGAAGAGGTATTATTATACCCCTTCTGTATAACAATAAACTAAGGCCTCTAGAAGTTCCATAATCTACCTATGGTCATATAGCTATTAGGGGACAGACCCAGAATATGAAACTGGAGCAGTCGAACTTTTAAAACTTCACACTTAACCTCTATGATTGTCAGTCAGCTTCTTTTGAAAACTCCATATTAACCCAAAGAAATCTCAGGTTAGTGCAACTATCATTTCAACCTCTGGATGCAGCTATAACTACAGCAATAGAATTTAACCACTTTGGCTTCTAAATTAGCTACTTTCTGAGGCTAGAAGGGCATTTTCTCAGGAACACAGGGCATGACTCATTTCCTTAGGTATCTGTTTATTCATTTAACAAATATTTATCAAGAGTCTACATAGCACAGTGGTAAACCACAATTTATTTCTTGTCTACAAAATTTTTGCAGTTTGCCAAACTTTGAGACACAAATTTGAGATATCCATTTTCATTTCCAACTAATGCAAGGAATGCTGTGATTAATTATTAGCCACTTTAGAATTGCAACCTGGCTTACTGTGGATCTCATTTAAGCCCCACTGTTGTTGAACTGTGAATTCACATCACATCTAAAATATTCTAGCCACTTTTTACTTTAAAAAACGTATAAATTGAAAAATTTTAGTCTACTTTTGTTCAAAGTACAGATGATTACCTCCATTTTCTCCATGTATTTCCTTCCTTTTTTCCACAGATCCAAGAATATATCTTTAATCCTCTACTTCAGTGAAATTTTGTGATCCTCCTTGACCATGTATTGAATATATTTTATAATCCTATATGTTCAACAGGATGTTGAACCCACAGATGTAGCTCATACTGGGTCCATGTGGATGTGAAATGGATGCATTTGGGTTTACTTTTATTACATTCTCATTAGTTAAAATGGTTATACTGAAACCAAGTAATTTTCTTCCTATTATAAAAAATAGTTTGTCTATCTTGGCCAGTTTGTGAGCTTTCTCATTAGTAATAGTGATACCTTTAAATCATCATGACCTCTTTTTAAATAATTATACAAATTATCATACAACAATATTGTTGAACAGTAACTCTTATTTTTAATTAGTATTCAGTTCATTGATTGTTTGAGATGAGTATTTAAACATTCCATCTAGTCTTTTCTTTAACAATTTATTTCCTTTTTTATGTTGAATATTCAGGGACCTGAAGGAATTGTGGGAATTCTGGGACAAAGAGGTCGTCCAGGAAAAAAGGTAATTTAAAAAATACTTTTAAGCTGTTTTTTTCTTCTGATGGGCCCAGAGCTCCATAGAATGCTGTGATGTTTTTATTGGCACTAGATATAAAGTAATAAAGAACTACAAATTTGGCTTAAAAAGACACATTAAATTAATATTTAATTCCACTTAGGAGTACCTATCACTTAAATTATTTGAAGGCAAATTTTCTACTTTGTAGTTTCTAAAAGATCTTTGCCTTGCCTTCTGTTTGCCAAACATTCTTCAGTAGAGAGTGGGCGGGAAAAGAGAGAAAGGGAAAATAACTGTTTGTGTTACTCAGTAATAATTTAAGTGAAATGTTTACAGGAAAGAAAATGATTAGATTTGTTCTGGGTCTATTATTATGTTTTTCTAAACTGGAAAGATTAATGAGTGATTTTACCTTTCCCATATATGAACTAAGAAACGCAAATCAAGAATATGTTTTATTTCATCTTTCTGTGTTGACAGGTAGTAGCTGCACACTAGTTGGGGTGAGGATTTAATAATATGGGTAACTGTTGAACCACTGTGTTGTATACTTGAAACTAGTATAAGATTGTATATCAACTATACTTCTATTAAAAAGAATTTAAGAATATGTTTTATTTGCTTTATATTTTACTTTAAAAAGTGATGTATTTATAAAATTCTAGTATATTATAATGAAATTTTCATCTTTTTATGAGGTCAAGCATTTGTTCAATTGTTAGTGAGACATAGAAATGATTCTCCCATTGTACTACAGCAGTTTTGAATATATCTACTATAATTAATTACAAATCACACCATATTAAGCTCCTTAAGTAATTCTATTATTTATGCTAATATATACCTAGTCCATCTTTCTCATAATTTTGGGACAGTATAAGAATAATAAAAGATGAAGAAAATTAATGAGGTAAATTATAATTGCCATTCTTGCCCATGAGAATAACCCTGGTATTGAAGTCTGTTTTCATCATATATAATGTTATGTCTAAGTTCAACATTAGAAGTGGGACAGTGAAGGTCCTCAAAACAATTTTCTCCCCTGAGAAAGCCTGTAAATTATCCTGAATACCCAAAATTTCCTGAATATGATCATAGTTTAGTTTTTCTTTGTGTCTACTTAATTATCAATAATAAAATAGCTTGGCTCCCACAATCAGAAAAATGAATTACAAAAATTACTGTTGGGTAAGAATAGCTGTATTTTTGTGCTAGGGAATGACCGATCAGCCTAATGGAAAACAGAAGGTAACTAGTTTTCAGAGAGATATAAAATGTTATAAAAATGTTACAGACTTTTAAAGGCAAACTTCACACAAGTGAGTGATGATCTTGAATATACAGAACTACACATTAGAGCTTTTTTGCATTAAACATCTCTTTATGGCTTTGAAGTTCTCTGCAGAGAAAGGCTTCTCATAAGGGTCTGTGTTTTCCCATGATAACAATAAAAACATGCATGCATGCATACATGCATGCATAACTAACTTCAAAACAAGAAACTTGCTTATTTATAACTCAACATGAGCACCAGATCACCCCTGCTTTTATGGCCAAAATTATTTTTTTAATGTTCTTTTTCCAAAATTACTTTTAATTATTATCTTTAAGATAATCTAGATGGTGATGGTATGTTACTATTGTCAGAGGTGGTCTGTAGTACTATTAAATTAAAGGAAAGTTATTGTTTATAGAATTCTGCTTACAAAATATCCTCTGGAGTCATTCAGGTATATGATATAGTTAGTTAATCTATTTAGAAAAAATAAATATGTTTTTTCTTACTTTTCTCTCCTGCTGATGACATCCACAGGGTGATAAAGGACAAATAGGGCCCATAGGAGAAACTGGAAGCAGAGGTGCTCCTGGACAAATTGGGGAAAGTGGTCCTAAAGGTGCCAGAGGAACTAGAGGCACTGTGGTTAGTATTTGATTTGTTTCCAAAACTAAGTTCACTGTGATGGAAAAGAAATGTATCCTTGTCCTTAAAGCTTCATCCCTTGATTAATTTTACAGAGAAAGCAATAGTTCCATTGAAAATAATCTACCTCTGTGGGATGTGGAGAATTGTAAGCATTCCACAGTACTTAAATGGCTTAGTGGTTTCTGGACATGAAAAAGGAAAGGAGAAAGAACTCAAAATGGAAATACAATATGAAATGAGGTTTAAAAAAAAAATCAGGTTATAACTCCTAACAGTAGGAAAGTTTATAAGCTTTGCATTTAAAATCAGTATTAATTTTCTATATAAAACTATGCTGTCATTTGGAAATGGGTTTTATTTATATGCTTGGACTCCACATGCTTATCTAGAGATTTTTTTTAACCAGCTGTGATTAAAATTAATCTCTATAACATCAAATAATATTTAATATTTTGCATAAACTTTGCATGATGTGAAAACAAGGGTAGCATGATACTTCTGAACATACAATAGCCAAATTACATTGCTAATATATTTGAACCTTCTTGTAAAGTCACAACATGAAAGCTGCAAAATATTTAAGAGATTATCCAATTTAGTCTTTTCACTGTTTCATAAGCTTATTTATAAAATGCAAGTATATTCCCTAATTTCAATGTAAATGTCACAAATGCTAGACTTTTCACCAAGGCCTTTTACAGAGACTGCATAATCCTATCTCTTGTCTCTGAGAAAATTTTCTCTCAAGGTCACTCTAAGTATTCCATGCCTTACTGTCATCTTACCACTCAAGGTCTTTCTTACTTCCTTTTATTTAAATTACTAATATATTTCCTTTTTCTATCTTTGGCTTATGTGCTTAAAAACATTATATAATGTAGTTAATTTTTTAATAAACATGGGAACTAAATTATCCAGAGAATATTGTCTTCACAGTAGGCTCTTACTTTGGATTTTCTCTAAAAAGAAAATTCCCTTTTTAAATTTTGACACCTTTGCAAGATACCATCCCAAGAGGTTTCACCAAATTTACACTCCCATCACCAATACTTCATATTAATTCTTATGATGTTTGATAAATGAAAAAGTGTATCTTATTTTCTTTCTATTTACATTTCCCTGATTTCAACAAAGTAATGTATATTTTTCTCTCTAGAAACTGCCTATTCACATGCATTTACATGTTTTTCTATTATGTTGTCTTCTTTTCTTATTGATTTGCAGTAATGTCTTATATATTTTAAAAATATATTTTTGTTAGATATGTTGCAAAATATATTACAAATATATATTTCCCTTTCTGTCATTTATCTTTTAATATTGTTTATGATATCTTTTGCTTTACAAAAGGTTTTAATTATTACATAGTCAAATTTGTCAGTCTTTTCCTTTCCAGTTCTATTTATTCATTAGAATGTCTTCCCTACTAAAGTAACTAAAAATGTTCTTCCACATCCTTCTTCTGATTCTTTTATATAACTTTATCTTTACCCTTGGCTTATATGGAGTTTATTTTTTTACTATAAGTTGTAAAGGACTAGTTTTCTTTTTTCCAAATGGAAAGTCACTTGTCTCAATACCATTTAATAAACAATCAGTCTATTTCCCACTTTTATGAATTGGTACCCTCCTTTAAACTAAACTCTGAAGTATTTATTGATCTGTTATTTTCTACTTTCTTCTCTCAATCTGGAAGACTCTTGCTAGGCCAATTCCACACCATTTAAATTATTATACTATTACTATAAATTATTATATTATTAGTATCTTTTAATATCAGTTAAGGAAAATACTTCATATTTCATTCTTTTTAAATTTCCTGGCAACTTTAGAATCAGCTTGTCAAATTCTTTTTATATTGAATATTTTAATAAACACCATATGTCTTTGCATTTACTCATATATTCTTATATGTCCTTTAATAAAATCTTGTCATTTCCTTTATTTCTGTTCCTACACTTTTCTTGTTAGGCTTATTGTTAGTTTCTTATGGAATTTGGTATTTTTAATGAAATCATTTTTCTCATTACATCTTTTTGTTGGTGCTGTGTAAGAATTCTATTTTTATATTTTTATGTTTATATGCACTTTAAGGAATGTAGGTGAGTCTCATGGGTTCTTTAAGTAAATAATCACATTATCTCCTCATTTATTATTCTGACCTATTGATTAGAACTTTTGGTTAGTGTGATATTTAATTAGTCACGTACCTATTCTTTGCTTTAATTTCCTTATCTCCTATTTATTTTGAGATTCAAATAGTACAGCTGATGTTGAAGCTTTCTGATAACATGAGAGATAGGACATTTTTAGGATCATTATTTTTTGCTTTTTTGCAATTGTCTGAGTCACCTTTTCGGTAGTTTGGGGGACTTTTACTGATTAGCCTTTAAAAATATGGTTTCCTTATCTGAAAAATACTGATAATAAGAGTAATAATAGGATGATTATTGCACATAAGTTGTCAAGTATTTCTATTTTAACAACTTTGATCAGAGCTGAAACATTGTTCATCAAAGCATCTGAAACTATCAGTGAGTATTGAGTTCTTAATTCATCATGACAATATCAAAAGCTATTAGGCTTCACTCTCTATATTCACTGATGTACTTCCATCACAAACTTTGACAAATACAATCTATACTTCCAAGAATTTGCTAGAAACCATAGGATTCCAACAACTGAAAGTATTTCTCTTCATATGATTAAAAATATTTATACTAGATGTAAACCAGAGATAATTTTTTGGGGGGGACTTCTGTGGTTTGTAAGAAAAATAAAACTAAAGTTGATATATTATTTTTTGTTTTCCCATTTCAGACTAGCTAGAATTTCATACATTGAAAAATCCAAATTTTAAATAATAGGAGTACAAATTTAAAGAATTAAAAAATTATCTGTTTTCTCATCAATATTTCCTTTGTTTTTTAGGGCCACTTAGGATTGATGGGACCTGGTGGAGAACCAGGAATTCCAGGATACAGGGTAAACATTTCTAATTGGAAATAATAAAGTGTATATTTGCATGAAGACATTTATATAAGATCTTATCCCAAATATGCAATTTAAGTCGAAGTTTCTCTGATAACATATTTATGCCTCTTCCTGTAAAGTGAATCCTATTTTTCTTTCTGAATAGTGAAATACCTGGACTTGATGGTAACAGGTAGAGCATGCACAAATAATATGGAGAATGTCTACATACTTGTCTTTTTATTAGGGCCATCAAGGTCAACCAGGACTTTCTGGGTTGCCAGGTCCTAAAGGAGAAAAGGTATGTGTGTATATTGACTTTAATCCTCAAACACTAAATTTACATGTTCTTTCTGAAGATATGCATGGAAACATTTTCAAAAAATAAAAGAAGCACTTTCAACTTGAGAAGTATTGCAAATTCTGTAAGAAAAATAAATAAATAATAAGGGATAAAAATTTAAATAAATCACTAAAATGTCTTCATAGGTTGTTTCAAGATGGAAGTGAAATAATATATGTTAAAGTACTTTGCAATCTGTAAAGCTTTGTGAAAGTAAAATCAATTACTTCTTAAAAAAGACTGTAAAATTAGATTAAATGGCTGACTATGGTATGTTTGTAGTAAAAATGTTTATGAGTTAAGAATAACTACAACAGTATTCCTCTTGATTTGTAATATCATTGGAAACCTGATACTTTGAGAAAATTTCCTGGGCAGATTTTTATGTAATTAAAACAGACTGACACTTCCAAGAATGATTTACAAATTATAACTGTGTATAAAATATGTGCTGAGTTTTGAAGGTAAAAGTTTTCTATTTAAAAAAGATAGGCTCAGATTGTGTATTTAATAACATACTAGAAAGTAATAGGCTGTATATTTCAAAAGTTATTTATTAATTTGCTTTTATTTATAAGTCATTGTCTCATTATAGGGTTATCCAGGAGAAGATAACACAGTGCTAGGACCACCTGGGCCTCGAGGTGAACCAGTAGGTCTCTTTCCAAAAATTATTTTGATGTTTCAAGATAAAATGCAATTACAATAAAGATTCACAGTACCAATCACATCTTTTCAAGGAGCTTCATTTTGTTAGTTTTATAACACAGTTTCATAGAAGAGCAGTATTTGGAATGACATAATCTAAATATGAACACTATGTCCAGGTTAAGATTATTAGTATAGTATATAAGTTTAATAAAATGAGTCTAACTTTCCAAGTCTAACTTGCAGCATCAAATGCATGATAAATTTTATGGATATTATAAAAAACACTATACTCTAGATATTTTAGGATAGATATTTTCTATTTTTTTAAAAATTTTTTTATTAAGGTATCATTGATATACAATCTTATGAAGATTTCACATGAACAACATTGTGGTTATTACATTTACCCATATTATCAAGTCCCCCTCCACACTCCATTGCAGTCACTGTACATCAGCATAGTAGGATGCTATAGAGTCACTACTTGTCTTCTCCATGCTATACTGCCTTCTCTGTGACCCACCTACATTATGTGTGCTAATCATAATGCTCCTTAATCCCCTTCTCACTCCCTCCCCACCGTCCCTCCCCATTAGTCCCTTTGGTAACCATGAATCCCTCCTTGGAGTCTGTGAGTCTGCTGCTGTTTTGTTCCTTCAGTTTCACTTTGTTGTTACACTCCACAAATGAGTGAAATCATTTGGTGCTTGTCTTTCTCCGCCTGGCTTGTTTCACTGAGCATAATACCCTGTAGCTCCATCCATGTTGTTGCAAATGGTAGGATTTGTTTTCTTTTGATGGCAAAATAATATTCCACTGTGTTTATGTACCACTTCTTCTTTATCCATTCATCTACTGATGAACACTTAGGTTGCTTCCATGTCTTGGCTATTGTAAATAGTGCTGCAGTAAATATAGGAGTGCATAGATCTTTTTGAATCTGGGATCTTGTTTTATTTGGGTAAATTCCTAACGGTGGAACTGCTGGATCAAATGGCACTTCTATTTTTAGTTTTTTGAGGAACCTCCATATCGCTTTCCACAATGATTGATCTAATTTACATTCCCACCAACAGTGTAGGAGGGTTCCCCTTTCTCCTCATCCTCACCAGCATTTGTTGTTCCTTGTCTTTTGGATGTTGGCCATCCTAACTGGTGTGAGGTGATATTTCATTGTGGTTTTAATTTTCATTTCCCTAATAATTGGCAATGTGGAGCATCTTTTCATGTACCTGTTGGCTATCGGAATTTCTTCTTTGGAGAAGTGTGTTCAGATCCTCCACCCATTTTTTAATCAGGTTATTTGCTTTTTTGGGTATTGAAGCATGTGAGCTCTTTATATATTTTGGATGTAACCCCTTGTCGGATATGTCGTGTACAAAGATATTCTCCCATACTGTAGGAAGATGTTTTTGTTCTGCTGATGGTGTCCTTTGCTGTACAGAAACTTTTTAGTTTGATGTAACTCCATTTGTTCATTTTTGCTTTTGTTTCAGGGTAGGTATTTCTTTAATCATCAGATTCAGACTAACCTTTAAAGTATTTTAAGAATCTTATCTCTATCCTTTTTTATAGTAGTTTACACAGTTACCAAATGTTTTTAAAACTTATATAATTGGTTATTAGAAATAATACTGTTTAAAGATCATGATCTATACTCTTATAATTAAGCATTTTAAGGGTTAACTCTAACAGTGGTTACTGAAAAGGAGCTTTTATAGCTTTGATCATCTTAATAAATGTCTCTATGTTCATGTTTGACAATAACAATCTTAAAGGACATGTAAATTAAATGGGTAAAATAAAAATGCTTATTTCACAGAAGTACATATAATTTTTTATATTTTTCATATTCCACATATTATGTGGAACAAAAGAATCATAAAGCAGAAGGGTCTGAATATGTAATCACTACTGATATTTTGATCTGACTTTTTTGGAGATGGTTGAAAGTTATATTTTGTTTTAAATAAAGACAGAAAAGATTCTACAATTTTTCCAATTAAATCAAATCATTTTTTATAGAGGCAAGCTTTTCTGTGAGAATATGTAAAATTCTTTATAGATATGTTCTGGTCTCTCTAAACCTCTATGGGAGAAAATATGAAAATAATGCAAAATTTAAAAGCAAGTAGAAAAATTTGGGCAAATGGAGTATAGTATTGCTTATTTCTCCAAATGAGGTATACTGGAGTCAAAGAATGTCACTGAGATATAATAAGTATTTTAAAAGTCTGATCTAGCAATGGTCATTTTATCTAGTAGACATGGGATAGATGTGAAACTTAAACTAAGAATATTCTAAATAACTAAAGCAGAGTCAGAGCTTATTGTCTTTAAATTATGTCTAGTACTTTATCCACATGAGAATAAGTTAAAACTTATCAATTAATGGTTTAAATTAAAATTTATGGTTTTGGCAACTAATTTCAATTTAAGTTTCTTTTTAGACATTAGGCCATAATATGTGCTAATTGATTTTTCAGGTGCACTTTAGACTAGGTAACATAAACAGCTTATCATATCAATGATTTTATATTAGGAATGTTTGGAAGAAAGCCTTAAGAATTAAAATTAATAAATGTAATTTCTGTTAGGTTAGTTTATGTCTTAAGAATTAAAATTTTCAGATTAAAGAATAAACAATAGAATCTATGATAAAGAAAGGTAAAGTAGAATTAGCTATTAGATACTTTTTTAAAAGATCATTAAATGATGCCCTGCCAAAGTGGCTCCTGCCCTTCCATACTCAGAAAGCAGCCTTGGCTAGGACTGTGGGCACCCCTCTAAAGTGACTGCTGCCCAGGGAGGCGGGGGTTAGGCCTTTCCATCAGCATGCCTACAACAATCACAGCTAGCCAACTATACCAGGGTCCACTCCACCCACCATGTGCCGACAGCCAGGCCTCTCAGCAAGTCACAGTAGGGGCCAGTGCACACACAGCTGTCTCAGCCCAGACACAATAGGACAGTGCACACAGAGCACACAAGAGACACTCCTGGTTCTGGAGACCAGGGGTGATGGCCCTTGTGGGCCCCACAAGACATTTTTTACATGAGGCCACTCCTTCAAGACCAGTAGACCAATAGTTGATCTACCTAATATATAGAAACAAACACAGAAGGTGGGGCAAAATGAGAAGAAAATGTTCCAAACAAAAGAACAAGATCTCAGGAAAAAAAATCTAAATGAAATAAGCCATCTACCTGGTGAAGAGTTCAAAGTAATGGTCATAAAGAATCTCACCAAACTAAGGAGAAGATGGATGAACACTGAGATTTTCAACAAAGAGATAGAAAATTAAAATGAAAGATATACTAGAGAGAATGAATAAAATATTAGTGGATACAGAAAAAAAGATCAGTGATTTGGAAAACAAAGTAGTGGAAAGCATCTTGGCTGAACAGCAAAAAGAAAAAAGAATTTTTAAATATGAGGATAGTTTAAGGGACCTGAGAGACAACATCAAGAATACTAACACTCCCATAATAGGGGTTCCAGAAAGAGAGAAGAGAGAGAAAAGGGCAGAAACATATTTGAAGAAATTATAGTGAACACCTCCTTGACCTGGGAAAGGAAAGGAATACCCAGATCCAAGAATCATAGAGAGGCCAGAGAAATCCACACAGACACATAATAATTAAAGTGTCAAAAAATAATAAAAATAAAGAAAGACTCTTAAAAACAGCAAGAGAAAAGCAGTTAAGTTGTACAAGGTGAACACCATAAATCTGTCAGCTGATTTTTTAGCAGAAACTTGGCAGCCAGAAGGGAGTAGCATGTTATATTCAAAGTGCTAAAAGGAAAAAACCTACAACCAGACAAACAAAAATTAAATAAGTTCATCACCATTAAACTGTCTATACTAAAGGTACTTTTTAAAGTGGAAAATAAAAAATCATAACTAGAAGTAAAAAATTATGAAAAATCTCACTGGTAAAAGTGAATGTAGTAAAAGAAGTGGATCAACCACATAAAGCTGGTATGGAGGTTAAAGGTAAAAGTAGTAAAACCAATTATATCTAAATAATTATTTAAGGGTTACACAAAATTTTTAAAATGCAAAATATGATGTCAAATACATAAAAAAGGGAATGGATAGTAAAAATGGAGTGCTTTTAGAATGTATTCAAATTTAAGTGACTGTCAACTTAAAATAGACTTCTGTATACATAGGGTTCTACGTATAAGCCTCATGGTAACCACAAGCCAAAAAACCTATAGTAGATAAACAAAAAATGAATAAATAAAGAGAAAGGAATCCAAACATAAGACTAAAGAAAGTCATCAAATTATAAGGAAAGAGAGCAAGAGAAGAAGAAAGGACCAAAGAATCACAAAAACAACCAGAAAACAACAAAATGGCAATAAGTACATACCTGTCAATACATGCTTTAAATGTAAGTAAACAAAATGATCAAAAGACATAGGGTGACTAAATGAATTTTTTTAACAGACCTATCTATATGTTGTCTACAGGAAACTCACTTCAGACACAAAGACATATACTGAAAGAAAGAAGGTGGAAAAAATATATTGAATGCAAATGAAAACAAAAATAAAGCTGGAGTAGCAATACTTTACACCAAACAAAATAGACTTTAAAATAAATTCTGTAACAAGAGACAAAGAAGGACATAACATAATGATAAAGGGATCAAAGAAGAGTACATAACAATTATAAATACATATGCATTCAAGAGCACCTTAAAGGTATATGTAAATATTAACGAATTTAAAGGGAAAAATTTACAGTAGTACAACAATAATAGGATTTTTAACACCATTCTTACATCAGTGGATAGATTATCCAGACAGAAAATCAGTAAGAAAACAGAAGCCTTACATGACACATTAGACAAGGTGGACTTAACATAAATACACAGAACATTTCATCCAAAAACAGCAGAATACACATTCTTTTCAAATGCATGTGGAATATTCTCCAGGATAGAGCACGGTAGTCCACAAAACAATAAATGTAACAAGACAGAAATCATATCAAACATCTTTTCCAACCAAAATGTTATGAAACTAGAAATCAATTACAAGAGAAAAATTAGAAAACACACAAACAAGTGGAGACTAAACATGCTACTACATACCTAATGGGTCAAAGAGGTAATCAAAACACCTTGATACAAATAAATGAAAACACAATGTCCCAAAATCTGTGTGATGTAGGAAAAGAAGTTTTAAGAGGGAAGTTTATAGCAATATAGATCTACCTCAAAAAACAAGAAAAATCTCAAATAAAAAATCTAACCTTACATCTAAAGGAACTGGAAAAAGAATAACAAACAAAGCCTGAAGTTAGCAGAAGGAAGAAAATAATAAAAATCATAATGGAGATTAATGAAATAGAGACTTAAGAAACCAGAGAAAAGATCAATGAAACTAAGAATTGAAAAGAAGCAAAATTGATAAATCTTTAGCCAGACTCATCAAGAAAGAAAGAGAGGAATCAAATACAATTAAAAATGAAAGAGAAGTTACAAATGGCACCACAAAAATATAAAGAATTATAGGAAATTACCATGAACAACTATATGTAAAAAATTTGGACTGTCTAGAAGAAATACATTCCTAAAAATACAATCTTCCAATACTGTATAAGGAAAAATCAGAAAATCTGAATTACCAGTAATGAAATTGAATGAGTAATTCAATTCAGAAAACTTAAAGTCCAGTAAACAGATAGCTTCACAGAATTCTACCCAAACATTTAAAGCAGTTAATACCTACCCTCAAACTATTCCAAAAATTTAGAGGGAGGAACACTTCCAAATTTATTCTATAACGCCAGCATTATACTGATACCAAAATCAAACAAGGACACTAGAAAAAAAAAGGAAAACAGGTCAGTATCCCTGGTGAACATAGATGCAGAAATCCTCCACAAAACATTAGCAAGCTGAATTCAACAATATTTAAAACAATCATACACTACAATCCAGTGGGATTTATTCCATGAATGAAAGGATGGTTCAATATCTGCAAATCAATCAACATGGTATATACCACATTAAGAAAATTGAGGATAAAAACCATATGATGATCATCTCATTAAATGCAGAAAAAGATGTGACAAAGTTCAGCATCTGTACATGATAAAAACTCAACAAAGTGGGTAAAGATGAAATATACATCAGTATAATAAAGGTGACATATGACAAACCCAAGCAACATCATACTGAAAGTTGAAAAGCTGTAAGTGTTCTTACATGTTCAGGAACAAGACAAGGATGTCTACTGTTGCCACTTTCTTTCAACATAGTACTGGAAGCCCTAGCCACAGCAATAAGACAAGAAAAAGAAAAAAAAGACATCCAAATTGGTAAGGAAGAAGTAAAACTATCACTATTTGCAAATGGTGTGATACTATTTATTTTTTAAAAACCTAAAGACTCCAAAAATACCTGTTAGAACTGATAAATGAATTCAGTAAAGCTACAGTATACAAAAAAAACACAGAGATCTGTTGCATTTCTTTATACAAATGTAAGAGAAACAGAAATGAAGAAAACAATCCTTTACAATTGAATTTAAAAAGTACCTAGAATTAAATTTAACCAAAGAGGTAAAAAACAATCCTAGAACAAACAATCCTAAAATTTTTATAGAAATACAGAAGACTCCAAGTAAACAAAACAATCTTGAAAGAGAAAAAAAGCAAAAATGGAGATATCAATGCTTCCTGCTTTCAAACTATATCACAAAGCAATAGTAATCAAGACAGTATAGTACTGGAACTAAAACATACACATAGATCAATGGAACAGAAAAGAGAGCTCAGAAATAAACCCATGCTTATATGGTCAATTAATGTACAACAAAGGAGACAAGATCATATACACTGGGGAAAAGATAGTCTTTTCAATAAATTGTTCTGGGGAAACTGGATGCCTACATACATGCAAAAGAATTAAACTGGACTACTTTCTTACACCATATACAAAAAAATACTCAAAATGGAATAAAGACATAAATATAATACCTGAAGACATAAAACTCCAAGAAGGAAACATAGACATTAAACTCTTGGACATCCATATTAGCAATATTTTTTTTGATCTGTCTCCTTAGGCAAGGGCAACAGAAACAAAAATAAACAAGTGGGGCTACATCAAACTAAAAAACTTTTGCACAGTGAAGGAAACCATCAACAAAATGAAAAGGCAATCTACAGAATGGAAGAAAATATTTGCAAATGATGTATCAAAGAGGTTAATGCCCAAAATATATAAAGAACTCATACAACTCAATAGCAAAAAATACCCCAGCAATCTTAGTTTTTAAAATAGGAAGAGAACCTGAACAGGCATTTTTCCAAAAAAGATATGCAGATGGCCAACAGACATATGAAAAGTTGTTCAACATCACTAATTATCAGGAAATGGAAACCCAAACCACAATGAGATACCACTTCATACCTGTCAGAACGGCTAATATCAAAAAGACAAAGAAATAGCAAGTGTTGGCAAGAATGTGGAGAAAACAGAACCTTCATGCACTGTTGCTGAGAATATAAATTTGTGCAGTGACTATGGAAAACAGTATGGAGATTCCACAAAAAATCAAAAACAGAAATACCATACAATCCAGCAACTCCACTTCTGGGTGTTTATCTGAAGAAATTGAAAAAACTAATCCCAAATGCATCCCTATGGTCACTGTAACAATATTTACATTAGTTAAGATAGGGAAGCAATTTAAGTGTCCATCAATAGATGAATGGATAAAGAAGAAGATATGAAATGATGGATAGATAGATAGATAGATAGATAGATAGATAGATAGATAGATAGATAGATAGATGATAGATAATTGATAGATAGATGATAGATAGATGATGCTGATAGATGATAGACAGATATAGATAGATAGATGATAGATAATAGATAGATAGATAGATAGATAGATAGATAGATAGATAGATTAGATAGATAGACAGAGATAGATAGATGATAGATGATAGATAGATAGATAGATAGATAGATAGATAGATAGATAGATAGATAAAGAAATATTACTCAGCCATAAAAAAGGATGAGATCTTGCCATTTTTGACAACATGATTGGACCTGAAGGGTATTATGCTAAGTGAAATAAATAAGACAGAGAAAGATAAATACTGTATGATTTCAATTATATGTGGAATCTAAAAAAAAAAAGAAAAACAAACAGAAATAGACTCCTAAAAACTGATGATTGTCAGAGGGGAGAGGGGCATAGGGATGGACAAAATAGGTAAAGGGGATGAAGAGGTACAAATTTCCAGTTATAAAATGAATAAATCAAGGACATGTACAGTAGAGGGAATAAAGTGAATAATATTATAACAGCTATGTATAGTGGCAGATGTAACTAGACTTATTATGGTGATCACTTTTTAATGTATATAGATGTTGAAACACTGTTATATGCCTGAAACTGATATATTATATGTAACCTGTACTTAAATAAATAAATCATTAAATATAACCCTTTCTCATTAGTGGAAAATTAAGTAGCTGGTCCAGCTTAAATATTTTTCAGTCATTTTAACATTAAGTGAAAATGAAAGCTATTCTCATATCATGTATAACATATTTTACTCATCTGAAAATTCATATTATGTAACTGGACTTCATTCCTTCAATGCTTTTCATAGCAGAATCATTATGAGATTCTCTTTATTTTAAATAATTCAGTGCTTATGATATTCTTGGTGTCATTGAAATTCAATCCTTTGAAATTATTTAGTGGAGTGGAACTAAAGAAATTATTATACATTTGGCTTTCTATTTTTGGAGGAAAAAAAATATTCCACATTGACTGTATCATCTGAATTCACAAATACTTAGATCCAGCTGCGAAATTGATTATTTTTGCATGTGGTCTCTTTAGGGTCCAATAGGGGAACAAGGAGAGAGAGGAGAGCCAGGAGCAGAGGGATATAAGGTAATACAGATTTCACACCTCCTGTATTTCATTTGGGCTCTCTGGTTCTGTTCATTTTCAAATGAAAATGAGCATCATTGATGGTAATTAGACTGTCTTATGGTTTTGATCCTAGAAGCCTACCTCTTTGTACTTTCTGTTTCTTCTTTCCAGAAACACCTTCATTTCCTCCCTTGCTGCTTTTTTTCTCATCATTCAGATCTCAGCTGAAATGTTATTTCTTGAGAGGCCTTCTTTATCCATCACTTTTTGTCATGTTTCTTGATTTCTTTCATGACCTTTAATGCTATGTGTATTATTTTACCATTTTTTGTACACATTCTTTTTGTTTATTGTCTGTCTTCCTCCACCAAGGTGTAAGATCTATGAGAATGAGACTCTTATTTGTTTTTTTTATCATTATATCCCCACTTTCTAGAACACAAAGTTCCCAGTATAGTAACAATTCAATAAAAAGTCAAATAGATGGGTGAATGCCATTATATTCTCAAGCCTTGTGTCAATTCTTACCCTCTTCCATTCTTGGAAAGATTTTATGTGGCCAACTTCATAAGCCAAGATTATATTAGACTATGTGTAAAATTTATTCAATGTCATTTTCTATTAGCACATTTGTGTGAAGGGTGTTCTGTATTCCTGACTTACTGTTCTTTTCCCTTTTGTTTATGATGCCAGTTTCTAAACAAAATGTTCATTTGCTAACTCTCTCTTATAGTTCCTTTTTTCCTTTGCTCCCAATATTCTCTGCCTGCTTACAATATTATATAACCTTTACTTAAATAAATCCTATCTATTTTATAATCCAGTTCAAACCACTTTTCCCTTGACCCACTCTAGCAGCACTCTTTCCCTCTTTGTAGTTCTATATTTACTGTTTATAGAAACTATTGAGTACAAGTATTTTTGACCATCTTCTGTTGCTAATTATTTTTAATGTGCAGATATCTTAGCTCCCCAATTTGCATATGATTTCTTTCTTATATAATGTCTTTTTCTGAGCCCTGTACCTAATAGTATATAAATGCACATAAACATAATTCATTTTTAATAGTGAATTAATGGGTTATTTGATCCAATATATACCTCTTGTGTGTATAAGTTTTGTGATAACGTCTGAAATTAAGCCTTAAGTAGCAGGGATGAATGAACAACTGGTAGGTAGATAACTACCATTAATAAATTGATTTTCTCAAGCCCAAAATATGAAAAATCAATTTTCACCTCCTAAAACTCTCTGAAGGAAATGATGAAGATAGCTATAAATGTTTGTGAAATTATTGTGATGTCCATCTTATAATTTTTCCAGTTTCAGAGAAACTTTTTTAAGAAAGATATACACATATTCTGTTTCCAATTTTATAAAGTTTGTATGTACAAATGTTCCCTAATTGAAGAAATCCAGTGGATTTACTTGAAGTACCTTTTCTTTGGGTTGAGAAGCCAACCCACTGCTTCCAGCATAATTTGAAAAGCTTCTTAAATTTCCTTTGCTTTTTCTGTGTAAGACTTCTCCACACATGCTCAGGAAATCAGGTTATTGCAGTATCTTATTTTGGCCTCTACCAACTACAAAACATTTGGTAACTAAATTAGCATATTTACTGGCAAACAGTCTACTCTTCTATTGAAACAGGAAAAGAATCTCTTCACCTGATTAACAGAAGAAAAACTCTGCCCCCATTATTCTGGATAATCACACATTCTTCAGAAATTCTTCTTTAGAGGAAAACTTTTCCCTAGGCTCACTATGGAACCTATTTTTCCTTCCTCATTCCACACATACTCCTGATGAAATTTTCAACTGTGGATGTTTCATGAACTAGTTTGATCCACGTCTTCTCTTCTGTTGAATTCTATCCTTTGTCCTTATGCTATAGGGATCATTTTATCATTTGTTGGTAGTTTGTACTATATAGCTCTCTCCTGCCAGGCAACCACACTAATTTTACTGCTTAGACATCTCAAAGTCATGAAATTCCCACACTTATCCCCTGCCAAGTTTTCTCAAGCACAAATTTGATTCATACAGGGGAACCATGCTTTATTTAGAGTTGGAGTATTCTATTGTAGCCTTGGGTGATATTTTTAAAATGTTTGCTTTTTTCTTTATGGATATTGTATATGCTATCATTTTACTCTAGTAAACTGATGCTTAGCATTACCATCAAGCTTTTTCTCTTATTGTGCTAAAGTACACATAACATAAAGTGTACTGTTTTAACCATGTTAAAGTGTACAATTCAGAGAAATTTAGTACATTCACAGTACTGTGTAGCCATCACATGCTACGTAGTTTCAGAGCACCTTCATCACCCCGGGAAGGAAACCTCATATCCATTAAGCAGTCACTATTTCTCCCTGCCTCTGGCAACGACTAGTGTTGTGCTTTTTTGTCTCTATTGATTTATCTATTCTAGATACTTCATATAAATGGAATCATAAAATTTAGAACCTTTTGTGCCTGGCTTCTTCACTTAACATAATGTTTTCAAAGTTCATCCGTGTTGTCGAATGTATCTTACAGCTGAATAATCACCAAGCTTTTTAAAAACACTTTATACTTCACAAATATTCTTACAGTTGTAAGAACTCATGATTATCCCATTGGAGAAAAAAAATAGAATGAATAATGCAAATTTTGTTTCCATTTTGCTGTCAGAAATTTTTTTAAACCCCTCTCTCCATCCTTTGCTTTTTTTTCCTCTTAAAGAAACTAAGACTTACAAAAGTCAAGTGTCTTGCTCATTATCATCAATAAATACTAATTAGATGTCATTATATGTGACATATTTATTTCCTCTCACATAAAAAGTGTCATATATTAGAAAATCTCTGGTCATTCAGCATATATTTGAGTGTCTGCCATGGACCAGGAGCAGAGCCAGGTGCCATAAATATAACACCGGACAGCCCAGACACAGTCCCTGCCTTCATGGACATCACATACAGCCGACATATAGAATAAGAACCTTTAGTTAGTATAAAAACAGGTGTAGTAAGTTATACCTTTCACCCAGAAAACTATACATCACATAGGTCAAGGTAAATTCATTTGAGGCTTGAGAGAGCCAGAGGATATAGTGGGAATAGCATGTTATACTGCCAACATCCACATTTAAAACATGAAGATACTTAAGATTAAGTCAGACTAAACTTGAGTGAGATGAAGTCCTAGAAGTACATTGAATAAATTGTGTTGTATCTCAACTTCATTTTACTTTGGTTTGGCAAAGGCCATAGAATTTTTTGCACACAATAAAATAACAATAACTAAATCATCACTTGGTCATCACTTAGAATCATATCCAAGTAGCTATTGGACATGATTTCCAGGCACCTTAAACTCGGGATGTCCCAAACTGTAGTATTATCATCCTCCCCAAACCTTATCCTCCTCTTTTTATATTCTCAGTCCAGTGAATGGTACCACCAGACATCCAGATGTCCAAGCCAGTAAATGAATCCTCTCTCTCTGTCTTTGTCATTCTGTCTGTCTTGATTCCTCTCTTTTCTCCCTACTATCTCTCACTCCTCTCCTTCTCTGTTCATCTCTCAAATTCAATGGACCACTTCTTTTGACTTCTTAAGTATCTCTGGAACTTAAGGCTTTAAGCATTTTTGCCTGAACTATTTTACTAGTTTTCCAACTGGGCTTACAATCCTGGGTCATAGCCCTCTCAAGTTCATTCTCCACTCAACATGTTCTGTCAGATGAGTCTCCAGTTATTCCCCCTACTATTCCCTCTGCCAGAATATCTTCCTTTTGCTTTACTACTTGGAATAGTCATCCTCCAAGATTCAGCTTATCACTTCCCTTGAAAAAAAAATCCTTTCCAGGCTTCCCTCAGCCATCCAATTCATTCCACCACTAACATAATCAGGCAAAATCAATCATTTCCCCATATCCTTTTCTCTATACATTTATAATAATATTTACTATAGCATATTCAGTTTTTACCACTGCAGAAAAAAATGGCTTCTGCCAAACTTTATCAGAATGGAAAGCACCAGAGGGAGTATAGAGAAACTCCTAGAAAACAAGTGTGTTTTTGATTGAGATTTCTGTCTAGACTTCACAAAGCCAAGAGAGGCAACTGGCTATTCTATGATCATTCTGAAAAGGTCTCTGTAAAACTACTGATGAGAATGGTGGCAAAATCTTAATTGGCCACTATTGTTTTGAGTTTTGTGGTTTGCTTATATTCTTACTCTCACTTCACTCCATAACTTCAGCTTTTCACCAATTACTTCTCTCCTGATTCCTATTTAATCAATAACATGTAGTAGTCATTTTCCTTGTACCAAGTTCCTTCTTGATTGACTCAATTCTGTTATTTGCTAATTCCGTTTATGTTTTGCTGAGAAGGGTCATGTATGATACTGGTTTTCTATAGTCCATGTGCTATAGAAAGCTTTCCAAACTAGCCTTTCTCTCTTGCCACTGTTCAGTCCCTTAAACACAATTTCTGTCCTTCATCAGGAAATTGGATCTCAAAATCATAAACATTTGTCTCAATGCAAACAAAGATGGCTTCATTTTGATCTTTCTGTGAGAATACTGTTAGCTTATGTATGCAGTCCTTTCTTCTTCTAGCCCAGCAAAAAGAGATATACCTGTTAACTGTCATCCCCAAGACTTTCCTTCTATAATATACAGAGAGTAGGAAGAAATGAATCTGAAGTGACTGTAGGGGAAGAGATGACAGAAATACTATGCTGAATTATTCATGTCTACCTCTCACCTGACATGCCTTTAGGTTGTTGCTAGTTTCTGTTTACATGCTTGTAAAGGGAAATGTGGTAAGTCAACATTTCCTCTGAGGAGGGCTAGGGTAGTGACAGATTGCTGAATGTCAATTGATGTGTCTTAGCATTATATACAGTAACAACTCCCAGTCTTCAGCCCAGTAAATCTATCCAAACAGCTCTGAACTTCATAAAATGGGGGCTATAGTACATTTCTACATTGGGAATAGAGTGAAAAAGAAATTTATTCTCAAACTATTTATTCCTTTGGTTACTTACTGCATTGGTTACCTGAGCCTGCCTTTACAAATGATCACAAACTGGGAAGCCAATAATAAAAAATTTATTTTCTCACAATTCTTGATACCAGAAATCTGAAATCAAGGTCAACAGGGCTATGGTCCCTCCAGGGACTCTAGGGAAGAATCCTTCCTTGCCTTTCCCTGCGTCTGGTGGCTGACGCTGTTCTTTGAGGCTGTGTCACTCTGGTCTCTGCCCCTGCCTTTGCAGGCCCTCTTCTTTGGCTTGTTACTGTCCCCCCTCTCTGTGGCTCTTTAGGGACCACACGGATAATCCAGGATAATCTCTTTTTAATATCCTTAATTTAATGATATCTGTAAAGACCCTTATTCTAAATAAGATCACTTTAGCAGGTTCTGGGGATTAGGACATAAACATCTTTTGGTGGGCCACCATTCAACCCACTGCAGTGCCTATATGAAAAATAAAAAACTCTATTACTTTCAGTAATCCTAATATCTAGTGACTATTATGTTCTATACTATTTCCAAGAGAGAATCATAATCTCTGATATTTAAATAGAATTTTACAACATTTTGCTACCATTCTAAGCGATGATACCCTATGCTCTAAATCACATGTCTTTACTGACTCCATAATAATCTTTTCTATTCCTAGGGTCATGTGGGTTTAGCAGGACCAAGAGGTGCCACTGGACAACAAGGCCCCCCAGTACGTTTTGAAAGCATTCTTTCTAATTCTAGAATTTAAAAAATATGAATTTTAATATATCTTATTTGGTCTCTGCTTCATATGTGATTTCTGTTTTGGTTCCTATTAAGGGTGAGCCAGGTGACCAGGGTGACCAAGGACTAAAAGGAGAGAGAGGATCTGAAGTAAGTTAAAATTGTTTAAGAAAATTTGAAATTTATTGTAGGCTTGAGAAAGCAGAGGCACAATGAGTTGCTGTTCACTGTAATTTAAATGATAATTCTTCATTCCAGATCCAGGATCACTGTAGGCTCTGCTCTAAACAGGTTATTTGTCAATAATTGTGCTAAAACATGATTATTTATTAATTCATGTGTTTTGACTGCCGTCCAATTTCCCTTTACCTGCCGCCTACTCTGGCTCTGTGAAAATTGCCTAAGGTTGTCCCAAACTAATTATCTCTCCTTGGGAGTTCAAGCAGAAATAGCAACAAGCCTTAAAACCATCATTGCAGAGTAAAAACCCATCAGTCAAATCTATTAGCTGTTGTAGAAAGGTAGAAATATTTTGACTATGTAATAAAGACTCATAATTACTAAAGTATTTTTTCTGTACAAATCAATAATTTGTTATTAAGCAAACTAAAAATCTGCTGGCTTATGGAATTGAGCCATCTCTTTCCCTGTTCATTCACAGGTGTTCCTCAACCTCCTTGTAAATTTGTTGCATTACAACCTGGCTTTGTAATTTGCACCATCAGTTCATTGCTGCTCTGCTTTTCATGACATTCTGATTTCACCTGCTGTTTATTAAATTAAATTTTTAGAAGATGGCCTCAATTTCAATAATAAATTAGGTGAGAATGAATAAAAAATCATGAATTTAAGACTATGTTTCCCCTACTTTGTTAAGCAGTCATCACCCACATTTGGATTTCCTACTTGTGGGAGTAGGTAATAAATGGACTAAGTAACAAAATTGGGTTGAATCTGATATTACATGAGAATTCATTCACCTAAAGCTATTTTGAATAATCTTAGCATCTTTCTAGTAACTCCCTGTCAGCTTCCCTAATAAATAAGAATTAATAATAAACAATGAATAAAAGTAACCCATTGAAGGCAAGCATTACCAAGAAAAAATGCAGACAAAGAAGATAGTTGTCTCACTCACTCAGAATTCTTAATACCCAAATCGGCAAAAGTAGTGGAAAAAGAGGTGAACCCAGGACACTGGGACTGCTTAGTGCCTAAAAACATGAGTGCTCTCCCAAGGTTTGATTCTAACATATGTAATTTTTTACAGTTAGTACTTTCATATTCTAGTGTTTCGTTGTTTGTCTTTTGTTTCGTTGTGCGTTTTTTTTTTGAGGTATCTCAAGAAGAATTTTTTTTAATGTTTTTAGTATCTGTCAAAATGTTACAGTGAAAATCAAATATTCTTACTAGACAGCTGCATTTCTAGCCTACCCGGTCAGCTCATCCTGGGTACTGTAACTGAAAGGTGATGAAGAGCCATGGTTTAAATTCTGTATAATCCAGGGGAACTAGTTCTTTCCTACTTTGGGCAATACTGGCATACAGTCCAAGGTTACATTTAAAAGCCTCTTAGAATTTAATATAGTAATAATTGCTACAAGAATAGTCATTGACCAAGTATTATTCACTAGGGACACCTTCGGTGGAGGTGGGTCCTGCCCGATTGCTGTCATCTTGTTTTTGCAAAGCTTTAAATTTGTGTTTTAGTTTTAGAAATTGTCCTTGAAAATCATCTGGAGAACCCTCTCATTTTTCAGATGAAGAACTTTAAGTCTCAGAGAGATTATGAATTACCTAAGACCACAGAACTACTTAATAGAACCAACAATAGAAATTTCATTTCCTGACTCCTATTATTACACAAAAGCCTTCTATTTTGAAATATTTTATAAATTAAATAAAGTATGGATTAATTTTACTTAACCAACTAATTCATTTGTTGAGCCCTCAGTGGTGAATCGGCAGACAACTGTAAAGAAAAGTTAGAGCAAGTCAAAACCAACTGCAGAACCATTATGTTTTTTAGAAGACTTTTGTAATGCAAAGGTAATAAACTGGGTTGTAATGGCTTTCAAAAACTAAGACTGAAGCCAAAATCTTACTTTTCTCCCAAAACAAAATACCAGATTTTAGTGAATTGAAATTTCTTGGTTAAAAAAAAAGAAGAGAAACAGTTTAATTCTTGCCTAACTCTTTCAGTCTGTGTTTATATGTTAAAGCTACCCTCTCTAACAAAATTAGAACTAGCAAAGTATTGCAGTAACTGTCCTTCAGCTTCATTTAAATAAAAAACAAGCCAACAAGGGTTTGGACTATAGTGACACCTTGTCCATTATTGGAAGAGTCAAACTATCTTCTCTATAGTCTGTGAACTGATACAATCCCAATGAACAGAAAGCTGTTTTAAATGGGTCTTATTTCAAATGGGCCATTCTGTTTTTCAAAGCTAGCCAAACCAAAAAAAAAAAGCACAATTTTACAATCACTCTAAAGACTATATGTAAAATTAACTTGCCTTTCTTATTATGAGGATAGAAAGGTCTGTTTGTACAATATGAGTAAGTTAAGTTTGAAAGTAGTATAGAATACTTAATAGCTTTATTATATTTGAATTCTGGGATTGGTTGAAGAGTGACTTTTTATTCCGTCTTATAATACCAAATTAATCATCTACCAACACTTTATAAAACAACATATTTTCTTTGTCTTTGACCCAATCTGTAATTTCATTCTGAACAGACAACCTCTGTTTAGGATTAATGTGTACTAGTGTTTGGCTTTTACTTTAGTTATGGGACTATCCAGCAATTCCAATTTTAAGATTTTTTGTTAAATGCACATGTTCAGAAAAGGTACCAATGTTCTACACTTTGTTGATCTCTTTGTATTTAAAACCACCTTTGTTAAGACTGGTTTTTGTAGCTGGCCTATTTCCTTTTAGTTACGGTGCCAACAATTGTAATAAGGATTATTACTCTTCTGAAATAATCCCTAATGTAATGGTCATCCCAAAGTGTGATTCATTTGTGATGATATGTGAATCTCTTTGTTTTTATTTTGGTATTTGAATATTTGAAGTAAAAACACTCACATACACGTGTAGCATTTCTGAACCTTATGCCGTTAACCCAGGTACACTAAAAGTATAGCTTTGTTTATGTTCTTTATAACAGAACTTTAACATTTGTCCTCATTGCCCATCCTGCCTGGAAGTAGAAACCTGATGGGTGGAAATTAATCAATTGATTGTCTTTAACTCCATCCACTCAAATATCCTGTGTCTGATTTAGAGTTTTCCCCATTTGCTCTTCAGTCATATGTTCACATGAGTGGCCACTGAAATGCTCCTCATCCCCCTGGGTCCCCAGGGACCATCATCCCACTACGTTGGCATCTACTTAGGCCCTTTTGGCAGCAGCTCTTTGATCTATGCTGCTGTGTACAGCTGTTTTCTCATCTCAGGTACAAAGTCTCCTTAGCCTCTAAGGACCATATACTCCTGTTCTTGGCCTCATGAAAATTACATTCTGCTATTTCACATACCACACTCGGTGCCTGGGGGGCTCAGATTTTCTCAAACCCACTAGACATCTTATGCAGATATTCTACTCTATTACTGACAGAGCAGTTTATGTGGACTTCTCAATGAGTCTCCCTAGCTATCATCTCAATCCAAATTTGTCTGGGGGTATTATTGTTTCTTTACACTCCAAGACTTGAGGGCAGAGTTGGGTCAATGGCTCTTCTCAGAGATACCTGTCAGTGTCTAACAGTCTTGAATCTCTTCTGTTTTTCTTCTTACCTTTCACAAATTTGCAAATTTTTATATCCCCTTAGGCAGGAAAAGTTCTCTTACATTATTATAATTCTTCTAAATTTGTTCTTTATGGCATAAATTTTATGACTTTATAACCTTGTTTTTGCATCCTTTATAACATTATTTTTGATATTCAGATAGACTTTTAATATTTTAAAATCAAGTTTTTGTATTTTAAAAATATATTCTTCTCAAAGTACTAAATTATTCTCAAACTATTATACCAGCATGAGTTTCAGAGGACTATTTTGAAATTTGTAAGATAAGGAAAAGTCTATTTTAAAAATAAAAAATGTAAAATAGATCTGGCACTTTGCATAAAAAGAAATACCTTGAAGGCAAAAGCACACTGACTGACATATTTGAATATCATCACAATATATATACTATATAATTAGTGCTACTCAAGATAATTGAAATCAAATTTTTTTCAATATTTATAAGTCTTTATTTCCTTATTTTACTTCTTTATTGTGTTCTGAAAGATATATTTTATTATAGGGATCTTATGTTCCAGAAATTGTACTTTTCTCAACTAAATCTAAAATTTGGCCACCAACTGTCCCATTTTCTGATATCCTTACCCTTAAAAAGACTTTACATTGGTGACTTTTTAAGGCAAGTAAAATAGTTTTCGAAACTGAAGATAGAACCCTTCATCTATTATCTCCCATTATCATATTATAAGAAAGTTGGATTTTTATCTCATGGAAAATGCCCCTTTTTCTTAGTAACTGCGTATACTGTTTCTTAAATTTGTTTAAGGTCATTTTTAGAAGATGTAATATGCAATTATTTATTTTGTTATTGTTGTCAAATTGGATCTCTGATACAATTTATCTTCAAACTTGAGTAACTTAATATCCCATTTTGGTGGAATTATCCTGTTTGTGAAAAACTTTTGATGAGTTCTGAGAAGTTTATCTGGTAGTGACAGGGTGCTCCTTTTTCTTATTTGTGAAGTAGGTCACTCTCTCCCACATTTTTCTTTTTAAAACAATTTTAGATTATCATCAGAATAATGGCATGATTTGCAAGTACAAAGTTCCTAACTATCTTGGCCAGCCAGTTACTGCTGAATCAATTATGATTTAAAACATTGCACACATGGAAAAACAAACAGTTCCGTGGGAAATAAATATATTTTCTTTGATTCACATGTTCTTCTCTGTGCTTCCAGATAAACACATTTTTTGGTTATTGGTTCATGACCCTAGCTACACCATAAGTACCTTGCAATCAGGAACTTTGACTTTGCATCCCAGCACATAATCAAGGCCCTGATACATAATGCTCAATAAATGTTTACTGAAGTAAGTACTCAGACACTTAATTCAACAGGAGATAAAGGCCCTGCCTGAAACTAGGGACATTTATTAAATAATCTATTTAGTCCCCTTTTAGAATTATAATCTAAATTCTTAAATCATAGAATTGAAATTAGATTTAAATTCATAGATGATCTAGCCAAATTCTCTCATTTTCAGGTGAGGAAAATGACTCCCAGGAATATGAAATGACAATCCCAGTGATAATACAACTAGTTGGCAATAGTACTTGCTGGAGTGTCCCGGTCTCAGCATTTTTTTCTATACCTCCAGCTTTATTAAGTTTATTACAATCAATTGACAACTATACTTAACATTTTCAGGGGCCTGATGGGAAAAAAGGAGCTCCTGGTCCTTCTGGGAAACCTGGGATTCCTGTAAGTAACAGGGCTTTTTCACCTTTCTTGTTTTTCTAAATTTAATTGGCAACAGTAGCAAGCCAAAAAGTTTGGGGCCAATTATGACAAGTGTTGGATAAATCAGACTGTCTTAAAAAATAATAGTTAAGCCCATGCTGGAACACAGAGGGAACAAAATATGACCATTAGCTCAAGACCAAGCTTACTGTTTAAATGTGAGCCTCGGTGACTGCAGGATACTATTTTTATGGTGTTATGGAGCCCTCTTTGTGGACTCATGCTACTCTGATGGTGAACCGTTAAAAACATGGAACTTGGCATCATGACTAAATGGTTGGTGACAAAGGTCAGAGATCTTCAAGCATGAATAAAAAGACATGAGCTGGATTTTAATTGAAGGACTTGGCTTTTCATTTTCCTGGCAATTAAAAAAGAAAGACTTAGAAAAAATATTCTTAATCCTTTCACCACCAAACAAAGATTAATTTTATCTTAGCCATTTGTTTTCTCCTCTGGCCTAGTAAATATGTGTTGACTGACTTATTAGCAAAGATTTGCTTCCTGCTGGTCTCACCAAACCACAGGTTAGATGCCTGTTGTGGGTGGCCTGTGCTGGTTCAAAAAAAGTAGAAAATATGAAAATAAACTATAAGCACATTTAGATCAGATTCCTATAGGTAATATCATTTCCCAAGAGTAGAAACAAAATGTTCATACCTTTACTCAATCATATAATCATCCAACTCAAAGCTCAACAAAAAAGAACCATAATTTGTTTCTTGGAAAAATAATACAATACAAGGTTTTGCAGATGGTGAATGACAGCCTGTATCCTAAGCTGACAGCTACATATAATTGACCTTTTTTCCATTATCGGATAAAGTGTGGACTGGCACAATGAGAAACAGCAGAGTTACACTAGAGCTGAAACGGTTACTCAGCACATTGCTGATTAGCTTGGCATTTTGGCTTCAAGAACTTTTAAAGACAGTTACCTCATCTGTTGAATCCAAATAGTAAACCATTAAGGAATCCATCCAGGAAGCAGAGGAAATTTTTTTCTGGGATAGAGTATTAAAAATGTAAATATCCCACCCCCACCCCCAAATATAAAGATACTTGTCATTTAAACACCTATACAGCATCTCTCTATAATCCAAGTAATTTTTAATTACCAAGGGACTTCCAGGTTTACCAGGGTCAAAAGGCATGCAAGGACACCATGGAGCAGATGGCATTTCGGGAAACCCTGGAAAAGTTGGGCTACCAGGAAAACAGGGACTTCCTGTGAGTAGATTGAATCTCTCTTTACTTTGTATTTATTATGCATAAGTGTCTCCTTGCTAGACAATAGATATTTTGGCTTTCCTCAATTTGACACTAGCTCAGATTAAGCCAATTATTTCTTTACTAGTTATTTTGGAATTCATGATTTCCAGGGAATGTCAATGAGTACATTCTCTTGGGTATTTTATATCTGATAACCCATAGTATTAATAATTTACATCATTTTTACATTTTTGTAAATAAGAACCATAAAGAAGCAAAATTTTAGAGACTCTACAACCTGGCTGTGTTTTGAGTTCATCAGATATCTTAAGCTGTCCTTCAAACATTTAAGTCTTGGCCGTAATTCAAGGTAGGTTCTGCCAAAAGTAATTTTCTCTTTACTTTTATGCCCTCGGTACTTTATAAAAATTGTGATAATGTTTTCTCTGTGTTCATCTAGTGGTGATGAAATGGTATAGATTATCTTACTTTTATGTAAATTTCTATCTGATTCATTTTATCAGAAATTTTAAAATCATATTTTTGTTCATTTAGCCATTTCTCCCTTTTCCTCCCTTAAAGTCATGATAGTCTAGATATTTTTTTGTTATCCCATGTTTTGTTTTCACTCAAAATATTAGAATAATTAACCACTTTCAAGAACAGTAAAATTTACCTTTTACATTTCCACATTTGGATATTGTTATCTATTGACCTATTTTTCTTTTCTTAAACAAAGATCAATCTTAGTGATTTATTTACATGTAGCATGATGATGTACATAAACTCAAACCCAAACTTACAGTCTTTTTTCACTATGATGAGTTATCTCATTTGTAAAATAAAATAAAATTAAGAAACTATTACCTAGCCAATTTAATTCGGTCAGAAATAAATACCTAGCCAGATTCTGAAAAGATGAGTATTTTTGAGAGGGCACGGTTTCTATTTGTTTTGGAGGCAATATGTCAGGACATCAGATCATTAGGGTAAGGCCTAGAAAACTTTGACAGGGAGTGATTTTTTAATTAAAATAGACATTTTGTAGACTTCTGCCATTAACATCCATCTGGTTAAGAGAGGGCTTCCTTTTGAGATTCCACTCTTAAAAGGAGCTTATGCACTAGATCTTCATTTTCATGCTGCTCTCCAGGCTCACCAGATAATAGTCTTAAAAAGAAGTTGTGAATTTTTAAAAATAAAACACTTTGAATTGGTCTGAGACTGTATTTCTGTGGATTAAGTTTTATGGGAAATGTTATAGTCTTACCCTATGGTTTTGAATAAAATTTTGAGACTTGAAACAAGGAAATACACATTTCAAAATATTTCATATTTCTTGCTGCTGAGCTCAGGTTTAATTATGGAGGTGGAGTGTGTGTGAATGTGTCTAGTAGGTTATAAGACTAAAAAGTGAATTTTAAATACTAATAAAGCAAACAGATTTATTTAATTACTAGGAAGAGAAAATCATTTGTTCTCTGGCTAAAATGCTACCCATCCAGATACTCATTCCAGATATGAATAATAGAAACCAGGTTCCTACATGTATATGTTTAAGAAAATTTTCAGATATTTAGTATATAAGATACTAATCAGACATTAGTAACAGGTCAACTTAGTTACTTTTTACATCAAGGTCACTTAATAGTTCATGTGACAGACAGCTTATTTCTGGCAATATGGGAAACCTGAAGTTCCCCCTAGAAAGAATTGAATTCCTTGGAATGCAAACATTGATTTGGATTACAAAAATCTGAACCTTTTTCTCTGCATAAAAACAGCAATGTGGCGGTAATTGTGATCTGCTGCTGGTTTCTAGCAACAAAATAAACATTTTCTAACAACCCTACATCCTTCTGCAATAGTGCAATAACACTTAAAGGACAGTAATTTGATGGCTAAGAGAAAATTGATACTAAGTGTATATAAAATACTCTAAACCTTATGCCTAGAATCTGCCACACTATTTTGATTATCTGCATGTGTGAAGGCTCATCCGTGAAATAAAATCACTGGTTCTATGTAGAATAGACAAGAAGGAAGGGGACTTAAGGTCAGATGCTAAGGCCACTTGCACACTGAGGGTGATTCCAAAACCCATTTAGGATTCTTGATTATCAAAGGGCTGTTTGGTTACAACCAACCAAACGTGGGTACATGAATTGCCCATTTGTATGGATTGCCCCAAGTTCTGCCCATTGGAAAGAGTTTTCTTCATTGAGATCTTTCAGGCTTTAATGCAACAGCCATCCACTTCTACCTGATACTGACATTCAGTGTAGCTCTTTCTATAAATTAGGCCTGAGCTTTTTCTTCCTCTATTAACTGGCAAAGGTAATTCTCTGGGAAGGCTAAAGGAACAGTAATATCCTGGAAATCTCAATTGCCTGCTTACATATTTTGTTCATGCTTTCTGGACCTGCCAGGGCCCAGTCTCAATATATACTATTTCCATTTAGGAGTAGAATGCTACTGTGCACATCCAATTTTATGATTCAGGGGGTCAGATATCACCCAGTTCATAATGGGCAGTTCAGGGCACATAGCCATTTGATGTTTCAGTGTCAGTTACTCAATTTTAACCAGAGCAAACCTGGAACTTCTTTCTAAATGGGAAATTATGTTTGACAAAAGAAGGCATGGTTTACCTCCAAAACTTCGTGGATATAAGTTATGATTCTCTTATGAGGGGTTGTCAAAGATCCCTATAGCATTTCTATCAGCCACGGATCCTTCTGTTATCACTGAATCTACTCACTCATGAGGTGCAAATTACAAGGTAAGTTACAGAGCATCCTGAATCTGCTGCAGTGCCTTCTCTCAGGATCCACTCAAAACTAGCAAGCTGGCAAAGAATAGGTATCTTTCCAAAGGAGATACCCAAATAACCAGTAATCACATAGAAGATGCTCAACATCACTAATTATTAGATAAATCTAAGTCAAAACTGCAATTAGATACCATTTCATAACGATTAGTCTGGCTATTATCAAAAACAAAACAACACAACAGCAAACAAACAAAAAAACAGAAAATAACAAGCATGGGTAAGGGTAGAAAGGCATCAGGACCCTTATGTATTGCTACTGGGAGTGTAAAGTGGTGCAGGTGCTGTGAAAACAGTATGGTGGCTCCTGAAAAATGAAACATATAATTACTGTATGATCCAGCAAATCTACTTCTTGAGTATATGCCCAAAAGAACTGAAAGCAGAAATTCAAACGGATTATTTGTACACCATTGTTCATAACAGCATTATTCACAATAGCTAATGGGCGGCAATAACCCAAATAACCACGGACAGTTAAATAGATAAACCAAATGTTTTACATATTGACTCCAAAGTCCAGAGATGTTCACCAAACATTGTGCTCCTTGCACTGCGATGAGCAGTACAAAGGGCAGTCACTTGCCTCCGTTTCAGAGGAGATGCGCTGGTGTACCCCCTAAACCACTGCTCCTAGAAGCTTCTTCCATTTAGCAAGTCCTGAACTTTTCAATCCTAGCCTCTGGCGTATCTTTAGGATCCTTGTTCTTTTTCAGTGTCCAGCCCCAGTTAGTATGATGTCCTCAGTTTAATGGACCTGCATGATTTTTTGTGAGATTCCAAGATGATAAAGGTAACCCTGGTCTATTTTAAGGACAGAAAGGAAAACTGAGTTGACATAGCATTGAGGTAAGGCATTAAAGGGATACAGCTCTCCCTGCCATACGAAGGCAAGCAGACTGCTTGTGCTGCTTTACTGAAGGAATGTGGGCAGGATGTGGTGTTGCTCTGTCAGTAGCTGCTGTTGCTAACAGCAGTGTTGTTTTGTAAAGATGCCATTATCAGAAACTGCAGCTGTGATTGGCATCCACACACAATTAACTTTGTAACTCTATTTGGTGTTTGCAGCAGCCGAACAGGTGAGTAAGATGGATATGGGATATGGTAGGATCACTACCTTGCATCTTTCCAGTCTCTGTGGTAGTAGCATACACAGTTTTCCTCAGGGGTGAGGTTAATAAGCACTGTTTTCTGCAGGAATGTGCATTACCCTGGTTTACTGTAGGGAGAGGTCAGGGAGAGGTAGCTCGAGGGGCTTCTACTTGTCTCTCCCCTTCTTACCATAATAGCCTTTACTATGAGTTAGGGATTTCATAGTGCTCTGAGATTAGAGGAAAAAAGCAAATAAACGGGTTCACAGTCCCCCTGGATCAACTTGGAAAAGAAACTGGGCCCAAACTCCACTTAACACCTGGCCTCATAAACTTCCACTAGACAAGAGTGCCATGATGGTATTTTGGATTTCCAGGTTCAAATCCAGTCTTCATCAATCCAAATCCAATGTCTAACAGCCCTCAGGAAAGCAGAGAGTTTCTTTTCCCAGCGTTAGGAGACCTAGTAAATGACCCCTGGTCCCTCTGAAGAATGCTTGGGGAAGGAGTCACTGTATATCTCTATAAGTGCATTGCAGGATTCCTCTTCAGAGAGAACCTGCCTCCCCTCAATCAAGTGTTTCTGGTCTAGGAACTGGCTTGGATCTGGGAAATGAGTGAGAGGCCATGAATCCCAACTACAGTGACTTGAATTAGGTTTGTGCCCATTGGACCTAGAATTCTTACACCTATATATCTATCAATATATTGGTGATAGGCTGAGCTGATATATTTAATTTCTATGGATCTTTGGTCAGTTAACCATCACTGCCTACCATTCTGATACCACTTCATCCTATGGCTTATTGTGATAATTGTTCCTACTTTTTCTCTGGTAGTAAAACACTATTACCTAGACTCTATCACTCATAGAGTCCAATATTTCCATTTAAATCAGGAGACCTTATTCTCGTGACATTTGTGACACCTTGGTAAAGAGTGTTCTTTCATCCCTCCAGGGGCTGTATTTAGGGGATGGTGATTACATTGTGATGACAAAAATTTATCCCCACATATTTATCCTTAGTTTTTGGACCTATACAGTATTCTAGGGAAGCTGTAGCATTTCAACCTCATTGGCTGTAGACCACAGTTGA